TGCTGGATAACAAGTCGCATGACGGCTTGAAAGGTGAGAAACACATTCTCCAACTTCTCCACACCGAGGCACTCGAAAGCGGACAACGTTGCATCAATGATATCATCAACTGTACGACTCACCGGCTTGTATTGTAGGGACTGGAAGGATGCGAAGAAGCCCAAGTCGAGCACGTTGAGATCCGGGCTGTTCAGTGGCTGGGACCGGACGACAAACGTCCACCCGTTGGTGGAAACGGTCGCAAGGAGCTCGTCCGTGATGACAGCGTGCGGTGTGGCGTTGTCATGCTGAAGAACAACATGTTTGTTGCGGCTTGGGAACTTGGCCTTGATGGCAGGTATGACACGTGAGATGACGTAGTCACGATACACCACTGCGTTGACATTGACCAACGTAGTGACCAGGGTACCGGCAGGCCGATTACGAGAGCTGCGCGCTGCGGGAAGGTACTTGACCACCGGCCACATCCTAATCTTCCCGTCGAACATGACACCACGATCTTCATCTATTCTAGGGCGTGCTACCGCCGCCAAGAACATGACTTTCGCAATGAAGCGCTTGCTCTTGCACACCCGACGACTAACAGTCTCGCCTTTGGTCAGGTACACCTTGCGGTGGTCCTTGTCTGCGTTAAACCTCTTCTCATCCAGGTGAACTACGTCCCAAAGGTCTGCGCATTCCACGTTTCGAGGCGTTGCTGCGCGTTGGCATCGGTCAGAAGCGGCTTCAAGCGCGAGGACCGGCGTTCAAGCGTTCCATGCTTGAGGCTGCGGTGGAGCGTGGTAAGGGGGTTGCCAGTGGCCTCGGCAATGTCGCGCATCGTAGAGCGCTGGCCCTCTGGTACCATGCCCACGAGGTCGGTGATCTCAGCTTGCGTGTACGTAGGTTTACGGCCGACACGACCAATCTTACCGGAGCGAATCGGACTGGTGCGTTTAAAGTCCTTCCAAAGTTTGGTCCCAGTGTTGCGGTTTATTCCCATGGCGACAGCCGTCAATTTGATGGCACCGCGGGAAAGCTTGCCCAAGTTGATGTATTGTTGGAGTCGCTTAATTACCTCCATCTTTCTCTCATGCGTGAGTTCTCGGCTGGTGTGCTCAGTGTCCATGCCGGCGATGATGTCAGGTCCCGTAGTCTTGAAAACAATAATGAGATTCTTTTTATTTTTGTGGACGAGGGTATGGTGGATTTTTTTTCGGTGGATTGTGTTCATTTTCGCCGTGTCCAGTCAATAGCTTGGTGGTAGCCTAAAACGTTTTGATTGGGTTGAGCTCACAGTGATACTTGGGGAAGAGCAGGCACTTGTGGCCTGCAGCGACAATCGTCTCCTCCAAAAAAAACTTTTGGCCCTGAAAGTCGGCTTGTGACGCAAGGCAGTGCCGAGCACAGCACCGGAGTAACATAGGATCATTTGGCATGTCAACCGACAGACCACAGGCCATCCGCAAGTACTCCGTCTTTAGCCCTCGACGACTTTGATAACTTTCCGCGCACCACGAAGCGGCGGCACTCTGTAATCGTTTGGGAATACTATAGCCTGAGGGTTGCATTGGTTGGTGACCGTGCCATCGATTGCGCCTCTTGGACTGCTTCACGCCCGGAGGCTTGTTCATGGTCGTGGCTCGCAAAGCGTGGTGGCGAAGGCGGTATGTTTGGTCGATTGGTCGAAAGCGAACAACACAACGCGTCCTGGATGTAAGGCATTGAACGCTGGAATGGCTTTTTGAATTAATTGCGAGCGAACGTGATCGCTCGTCCAGAATCCTTCCTGGGCCTTACCGACTTGAAGCACTTCGTTCACAAATACATTCGTGGGCACACCGGTAGAGAACAAACGGCCATGACATGGGCACAGAAAATCTGACACCATGATGGACTGGCCCTGGCCTTTCTTGTGGATGGGGATTGGAAGCATCGGTCGATACCGCGCCACCATCGCCGTTTGGGTGAAGGATCGATTCGTCATGAGTCACCTCTACGACCTGGTGGTTCGTGACTTCAGCGGATGGGTCGACCAGGTCCATGTCCACGTCGGAGTATGAAACCATTCGACCGCTCAGCGTAAGCCAGATTTAACAGAAGTGTTTCCGGTAATCCGCGACGTCAGAACGTTTGTGGCCATTCATGTACACTTCCTTCTTCCACGATCCATACTTGCATCCGACGTGGATCATTCAGCGGCGGGTTGTTGCTTCCGACACCGACGTCTTGATGTACCTTCACCAAATGCACATATTTATAAAAATGTGAAAACTTTCTCAATTTGCCTGTCAATTGCAGGAGGACAAATCATTCAAATACCCTTGAGAGTTTGCGCCCGCATTGTTGAGCGCAACCGTTGACCGCAATTGTTCTGGAAGTTCTCGTCGTGAATCAACGACGGTGTGTTCTGATGTAGTCCCTAGTTGGACTTGAAACACACCCAAAGCGCGGGTGCCTTTGCCCAGTTTGGATGGTTCGAGGACCAAGCTGAAACGCACTGGGGAGATGAATTGCCGCAGGCGCACTTACATCGCGCTGCGTCACTCTGTCAATACGATGTTCAAAGTACCTTGAAAGCACTAGGAGCTGCACGAGTAGACTGGACAGAATGTCAACTGCTCGTTGATCTTTTGATAGTACTCCAATATCGTGAGGCCCCGCTGTGGCAATGCAACGACTGGTTTGAACCAGTTATCCAGCGTGCCCATACGACATGCCATGTGGACCAGGGCAGCATTGCTGTCGTTCGATGCTTGGTTCGTTCCCTTCGTAGAACAAGAGTCTCTGTCTTTTCCTAGTCTGCTCAGCGTCTATTAGCAATATTTGATGACGACGGTCTTCCAAACATCTGTGCCCACGTAGTGGGCTCGTCGAATGGAGTTCCATCAAAAGTATCATCAAAGACTTCCAGATTTGGA